CAGTGTTCATTTAATCAGCAGTACAGATAAATTGGCCCAGAATAATTTGGTTTGGTGTCACAATCGAGTTTTTGCTTAAATTCAACATGCAATCCTCTTCAGTGTTCGGCGACTTACTTTGGCTCATAGAAGACGTCTACATTTGGAGGCAGTATCCCTTTCCCTTCTCTCAGGCGCTCAACTCCGTTCCTGGTTAAAAAAAGAAATGATCCAGGTCACAAAATCTGATAAAGTATGGCCCCTGTGATAAAGCATCCACTAATGATCGTGGCAGTACACACACCATGCAATCATCACTCCGTTGTCAGTGCAGAATTTGGCTGGAGGACAGAGGAGGTGTAGCCCTGTCGTCTCAGTGATAACGGTCAAAGCCTTTCGGATGTACTGGTTGCTCGCAACTCCTCCTGACAGCACCTAGAAAAACAGAGTTACTGATGGAAGCTTCAAATCTCAGTGTATGCACAATGTTCTTTGATTTGACGGATAAAGCTGCTCTTATTCTATCATTATATTTCATCAATATGTCTATCATATTGTCAACAAAACACAATGTTCTTGTTTTCCTTGAATACATAAATCCTTAAAAAAAGGGTCTCAAATAGAAATTTCATTTTTTATAAAAAAGGCTCAGTAATTTCCTAAAACAGCTGAAAACTGTTTTGAAATATTATTCAAACAGGAGGAAATGGTGCATTTGTTGAGGACTAGTTACAGCTGCAAGTTAATTAACATTTGATCGAGTAATAATAGAATTATTGTTGACAATAAGAGAAATATAGAATAATCACCAGCCTTATTGTTTAGTAAGTTGTTATTTAGATCTACTGTACATATCCAGTACACTGTTGAGGCTTTTATCCACAACCACTAAAGTATGAGCAATCTAGAGTCCTTTTTAGGGTCTTTCAGTCCTTGTACACACAGGATGAAAAGATCAGAAGTGAGATAAGATCTACGACCACAAACCGAGCATACATTCTTTCATCAACCCTCTAATTAAGGAAGTTAAAATTAGATCTATTATCATATTTATCAAGAGCAAGTACCCAATGATTATGATGCTGGTGGTCAATGCTGTTGTCATATTGCTCTGCGAGGTCAATGCGAGTGCTGCAACAAACTTATTTTCATGCATGAACTGAAGTACAAAGTGAAGTAATGCACTCACCAAGGTGGGACTGCTTGCTGGCAGCAGGCCGTTTGCCTGACAGAACAAGATGGCGCGATGTGTGCGCTTTGCAAGATGAGTGGCTACAGTGTGCTGTGTGGCAGCCGCAATGTCATTCACACATGACAGTAATGTCCCCTGTTCTATACCTACAGAGGGAGGAAGCAAAAGTTACAACCAGGCAAACTAGTAACAAAAGGAGCTAAGTACAATTTTACTGAAATAACATTATCAAGAGCTTGAAATGCACGTTCTTCTGATATGTTTCTGCTGAGCAAAAGAAAAATGCAAATTAAACTGCAAACTGCCAGTTTTTACTCACATGAACCCGACAAACCTCTTTTCATTTTGTATTTTTTTTTCATCGCTGTAGCTTTTCTTATTTCTCAGATTCATAAACCTTTTGACTTGTCATGGTAGGGAAAGCACAGGTGTTAGTAATAACATTAACGACTTGATCAATGCAGCAATTAATGTTATTAATTACACCTGTGTCTGACGAGTCAAAATGTCATTGTTAAAAAATATATTATACTATCCATTTGTCATCTTTTATTTCCTGGAACAATCTGGAAGTGGAAGTAAACTTTTCACAGAGTTAATTTAAATACTGGAAAAAAATACATTCATGTTGAAATTCACAGGTTACATGGATTAGGTCATTCAGGATACCTCATACCTTCCTCTGCCTCTTTTTTCTTTATCATCATTGTAACTTGATTCCGTAGTCCAGCGAAAGAAAAGCAACAGTCGTGAGTTTGTCCCATAGGCGTCGTGAAACGGAACCTCATCCTGTCACCGCTCTTTGCCAGAAGCTCTATAGCTTGTCCTCCGCTTAGTGTGGAGCACTGTGGGTGTTTTGTGAGGGACAAACGTCTTGCCACCTGTGAATCCACACAAAAACAGTATTTGTTTGTCTTGATTATAACAAATTGAGCAGCATGGCCACCAACATCAGCTCAATGTTAGTGTGAAGGTGTTACTTTATCCAGTATGTCCCCTGGAGATTCATCCAGAGAGTGACCCAGAAGCAGAAAGTCATCGACTCCTCGGGCCACAGCAAGAAGTGAGTGACCACCAGAGATGAGCAGGACCAGGAAGGGGAAGGCGATGGGGTGAAGCATCCTGGCGGTCAGGGCGTGGGCTTCCATGTGGTGGATGGGGATGAACGGCTTGTTGTGCTGTCTCACAAACCTCTGACTGAACGTAAGACCGATGCTCAAGCTCAGGGCCAAGCCCGGCTTCACCGTGGTGGCCACTGCCGAGAGCTGACTTGGGTCCACACCGCTTCTCTCCAAAGCCTCCTGGACCACACGCTCTATGTTTTCACTGTGGAGTTGTTGTGCCACTGTGGGGATGATGCCACCAGTCCTACAGTATTTGAGAGGGGATATTGCACGTATATTAAAACAAATCCCTAAATAGTGACCCTGATAAGTGAATGCAGCTCTGACACCCACCTCAGATGTACTTCTTTCTGTGAGTGTAGAGACTCTCCCAGTATTGCACCTTTCTCATCCAACACAGCAGCTCCAGTGTCATCACAGCTTGTCTCAATGCCCAGTACCAGTCTGGAGCAGGAGGCTTTTCCATATGAAGGAGAGCAGCAAAATGTGTGTCTTAACTGTAGCAGCCTCTGCAGGTTTTTAACTTTTGAAGGGAACATGGTCATTAACCCTGTGTAGTCGAATAACTCAGGGTGACCTCACCTCCGTTCACATTGAATGTTAAACTAATAGAATAAAATCAAATAAATAAAGTAGAATATTCCAGCATTGTCTCATTTGGTTTCACAGCAACAGAGCAGGAACTAAAAACATACGAAGCACAGGCTTTTCTTGTTGCTCTTTCCTGCTCCAGCGACGTCTGGCTGTGTCACATGTAAATAATTCCGTGCAGCGGCAAGTTTGTGACCTTAGTTTAAGTACAGATAGCTAGCCAAAAGTCACAAACATAAAGATGGGACAATGATTTAACGTTATAAATGTCGAACTTATGCTTTTTAAAAATCTAATGATTTTGAAAAATCATTTAGAAAATATCGCATGGGTCCAAAAAAAATCAGATATTTTCTTGTGGGGGGGGGGACACTTTAGTTGGGTGCTCAACAGAATAAGCATGGAGTCGAGAAGATAGACTCTTTCACCAAGCGCGATTTCCTTCAAAGTATCGATCTGAATAAAGGTAAAGTTTCATTTCGTGATGATATCCGTGTTTAGGTTTCTGTATTGTGCTGCGCTGTGCCGGGGACATTACAAAGATGGCGGTGTTTCAGAATTTGAGAATTTGCCTTTTTCGTGGGCTGTGCTGCCTTCACGGGCACCAGAAATGTCGTTCTTCCCATAAAACAGTATAATAACTCAATAACAAAGTGGTCTATATAATATATAATTGTATATGTGGTGTACGTAGAGTCAAGATATTAATGTAAGGTCTGGTATAACTGAAATAAAAACACCAAACATACTGACATTGCTCTTTAATGACACGGCATCATCATGCAGCGATGACTTGAGGGATTACCAGCAAGAATAACCACTAAAAAAGCTGTTTAAAAGCCTCCTCTGAGGTAATGTTTCCGACCAAATTAACTTTAGTTTAAAAATAATCGTTTTAACACTAGAAAGTTCTTATGTACCACAATATTGAAGGCACGATGTCCATTTGTCAGTGATTGTATCGGGGGATTTCCGTCGCAGCTTGGATTTTTAACCGCAGAAGAACAAAACAGTGTTTATTTCATAGATGTCAGTGAACTTGTAATGAACCATACAATCTGGTGACGGTTTCTGTGTAATTTACTTTAGCAGAGTGAATGTAAAAAATTTGAGGAAGCAAAAATATGCTAATGCTATCAACATACACGGAAATGCACTGGATCACATGGTAATTTGAGGGCTGTCCTGTTGCTTGCTCAGATTTCATTATTAGATAACTTGAACCAGACCTGTACGTTTTGGTACATGTCTTAGACATTTCCCTAAGATTTTCAGTTTTTCTTGTAGTCGTTAACAGACAAGGCTGTGGTACACTTTATTCTCTTGTTAGCCACCACCAGGGAGCTTAGCCAGCATTAGCCGTTTTTGACCTACGTTTTAACATTAGTATTATCTTGACTTTTCTAAAGGAGACATGGAACACCCAACTTGTATTTTGGAGGAAATGAAGCAGTTTGTCGTACATGATGCCCTACCAACAGTGCATTACATCCCAGATTTCATATCAGAGGATGAGGAGTCCTACCTTCTACAGCAGGTGTACAAGTCTCCAAAAACTAAGTGGACTCAGCTGTCAGGCCGAAGGCTTCAGAACTGGGGAGGGTTACCACATCCCAAAGGCATGCTGGCAGAGAAGATTCCTGACTGGCTGCAGACATACTGTGAGAAAATTTCCTCTCTGGGTGCGTTCAGTGGGAAAACAGCCAATCATGTGTTGGTGAATGAGTATAAACAAGGAGAAGGGATTATGCCCCACGAAGACGGCCCTCTGTACCACCCTACAGTCACCACCATCAGTCTGGGCTCTCACACCCTCCTTGACTTCTACACACCTGTCAGCAGCCTGGAGGGCGATGCTCCGCAGACGGAGGAGAACCGTTACCTGTTCTCCCTGCTGGTGAAGCCGCGCAGTCTTCTGATCCTGCAGGATGACATGTACCAGCGCCTCCTTCATGGCATCCAGGCGTGCGCTCAGGACACGCTGACAGACAGGGTGGTGAACCTGTCGGCTGCCGGGGCCCTGCCAGGAGACACACTGACCCGAGACACAAGAGTGTCACTGACTATACGACACGTGCCCAAAGTCATGAAGACAAAGTTTATACTGGGAAGGAAATGAGGAAAGACTGAATGATGACCTGATAGTTTGTTGCAGTACAACATTTACATACATAATGTCAATGGGTGTGTAATCTAGGCTGCTTTATGAATTATTGAATTGAATTATATTGCACATGTCTACAATGGATCACTTCTAGCTTTGTGAAAGGCCTGAGCTGCCTCAGGTGATCTCACTGTACCTCTGAAGATGTGGTAGCTTTTTTCTTCCTTAGTTTTCAGTTAAATGATTGTCAGAACCAGAATGAGTTTTTTTTGATTAATGAAATACTTAATACAGCAGGACATGTACAGCATTACATACATAAAATAGATATGACATAATAATATTGGTTGTGTATTGTTTACTTTATGGATTTACTTAACAAAAGAGCTCAACCAATCCATCAGAATGGCTAATATTATCAGCTGATGTTAGCTTTGCACAGATATATTGGTATCAGCATATGTGTTTACTAATAAATAACATGAAACTGCAGCACACAAAGGCCAAAGATATGAATGAGGTTCATTTAGAAACGGTGTCATTCCTAGTTTGTCCACCAGAGAATAGTGACAAGTTTATTTTTACTCAATACATATCATTCATCATCACATTCTTCATCACAACTCTTTAATGACCAAATTTGAAGGGAAACGCACCACACATTTACACATGAAATTCATCTTACTAGTCAGGTGGTGTACCAGACAGCCTATGGAAGCAGTTGTGTAATGTATTCACTTAGTCATGTCTGAGAAAGTAAGTGACAGAAGTTGCATTATGGGAAATGTAGGATCCAGTGTTTTCGGAGCTTGACCCATACTGGGGAGTAGATGTCAGGATATCTCAGCCTCTGCTAAATCTGTCTCTTAAGAATCCATCAGCCTTATGAAAGCACTTAATTTATCCTGTAAGGGTTACTTATCAAAACTGTTTATCTTACTAGATTGTAATCATACTTTTTTGTTTAAACTCTGATATGTAATATCGGTTTCTGCCTCAAACTGTCAGAGCCAGCTGGGCTCTGCTATAAATATCTACCTTGCAAAGTAACTGTGTCACTCTGTGTTTGTTTTTGTTCATGTAATACAAGTAGTTAATGTGACAGTATTTTGGTGTTCTTTATGCTACAGATGAAGAACAGGTTTCACTCAAAGCCCTGCAGAAATGCATCAGATAGCAGTAGCATATTACATATGCCACCTATTAAACAGAGAGATTATTTATTACAAATTCACTGTTATCTCTGAAGTTACAAGTGGCTTGTTCATACTGTGAGTGATGAGACCACAAAGTCGGTCAACCTGACTGTTAAAATACAGAAATATGCAAAGCCACAATTCAGAGGTTGCGGACTGAAGCTGTTGTATTAGAGAGATCAGGCTTAGTTTGTGTCCCACATTTTGGGGTAGGCTTTGTCATCATGTGCTCTTCCCTGCAAATGCACTCACTGTGTTTGACTTTGGTGTGAAATCATATTTCACAGGAGGACGCCAGAACAATGGAGCCACAGATGAAACGCTGGAAAGGGTCAGAGTTTGACACAGACTCCTGGGTTGCTTATCCTGTACTGTCAGATGAGCAGTCACAAGATGTCGAGCTGGTAGAGGCGTTTGCTGCACCCATTGTCAACAAGAAGGAGACCTCTCGACTGGTCAGGGAGCTGAACGGCCTCTACCCGTTGGATGGCCTTCAACACATCAAGCGGGTGCGGGCATGCAAGGAGAAGGACAGCCCTCATCCTCTGGAAGTCCTCGTGTGCCTTGTTAGTGACGCACCAGACAGGAAGGCGGTCAGCATCGACTCCCTGCTGCCCTCAGATGGAGTTGGACGTGATGGATTAGGTGAGCCTTTTGTGGTTAAGGTCCCTGCACGTCCCCCCTTGACCCGACCTCAATTCGAGCTGGCGAGCAAACAGTGGCCCACTTCCTTCCATGAGGACAAACAGGTGACGGTCGCGCTGAGAGGAGAGCTCTTCAGTCCACCTCAGAAAGCTGCAATGCACATGTACATGATGTCTGCAATCGCTGCTGCCAGAGCTGGGAAGGAGATGGGGATGGAGGCAGTTGGGGCTGTAGTGGTCAACCCAGCTACGCAGACGATCATTGCAGTGGGCCACGACTGCCGAGGCGACCATCCCCTTCATCACGCAGTCACGGTCTGCGTCGACCTTGTGGCTCGGAGCCAGGGCGGCGGATGTTATTCCTTTGACAGATACCCTGCTTGCCGATTCACTTCGCCAACCTCAGATACTTTTCAAAACGTGCCTGACGCAGAGGGGAGCTCTCAGCCGTACATATGCACTGGCTATGACCTTTATGTGACCCGAGAGCCTTGTGTTATGTGTGCCATGGCACTGGTCCACTCTCGGATTGGCCGTGTGTTCTATGGGACCGCCTCTGCTGACGGGGCATTAGGGACAAAGTTCAAAATCCACTCACAGAAAGATTTGAACCATCGCTTTGAGGTTTACAAAGGAGTCTTGAGCAAGCAGTGTGAGGGTCTTAACAAGCTGGACAACCACATCTTATAGTCAAAACCACTGTTTTATGAAAGCAGTTATTTTAAATAAAGTTTTTATTCATATGGTGACTGTTGTATTGAAATGTGTGTGTGTGTAGTTGAAAACCAGTAACAAGTTTCCCACCATGGGGCTGACTTCCCATTGGATGGGGATGGTTGACTGTGACTTAGACTTGTTGAAGCAAAGACAAAGTCGGTGACAATGAAGCTTGACTTCACTTGCACAGTAAATATTATGATGATGATGATGATGTAGTGAATTATAATAACAGCTGCTGCAGAGTCAAGTTTTGTTTATTAATTTATTAATGCAAAGCAGCTTATTAAGCTGTTACAACTCGTTCATTTATTTTTAAATCAGAATCTGAAACAGAAATAAAATTCTATGTAAGTGTTAAGATTTTCTAAAGTTTAACAACATTGAAATCAGAAAAGTTATAATTTTCTTTGTTCATAGAGGGGCTTGAAATGCAGGTGATGAAACTGCAGTTGACTAACAAAAAGTGACATTGTGTGTCCTTGTTTTTTTTATATATGGGATCAGTATCCACCAACTGGCAAAGCATGTCGGGTTTGTATTCTATGTCGTATACAAGACATTTTTCAGATAAGTGTTAACAATTTTGATGATTGCTTCCAAGCTTCTTCCTTCTTATTCCAACATGCATATATTTTACTGTAGTCAACAAACCAGGTTGGGTGGGAGTTAATGGTTGTCCTGATAAGACTCAGATTGTCACAGCTGAGAATTCTACTGTTTATGAAAACAGCTCGCATCAAATGCAAGTTGTGAAAAACATTCATGTAAATCCCTCAATCTGAGAGCTTCCTTCAATCACTTGACATTGGAAACCATGCAATGCACAACAAAGACATGGAACATTTGGAGGGCACAAAGATTTTAATAAGATTAAGAACAAGAAATATCATGAGTACTGTGAGCTATGGCCAAACAAAGCAGAACTAGCTGCTTTAATGATAGCAAAAAGTCATAATCCGAAGAGAGCAGCTACATATGTGAAACTTATCACAAAGACACTGTAGACCTCCCTCACTAAACACTTTACCTGACAACAATAATTTGTCTCGTTTCTACATACAGGACATAACATTCACACAAAAGAACTGTACAATGAAAAAAAAAAACATTGCCCTGTTTTGATTGAGTTACAAGTGAGGAATGATTCACAAACCATGCAAATAAAGAGTATGATTCCATTCTTCACTTAGCATGAACAAGTTTGACGCCCATTACAAAATGAGAGTGTACCAATAAACGAGCCACAGGCTCCTACCCTTAGGAAGTAAACATCTTTGAAAAATACATTTGGGACATCTTTGTGGCTACAAACAGACTCACACCATGTCAACTGAGGGCAAAGAAAAAAAAACAAACTCAACCAAAAGCCTCACTGATGCCTGGGCCAGCCCAGGTCTATGCAGGCCAAAAATACATCATTAAATATTCACATAAGTTAGTAATGCATATGGCATCCTGTCATCTACAAACATACTCCTGTTTTTTTTTTAACATTTCATCTGCAACCTGATAAATCTAACGACGACAGTGACGTTTACACAAACTGTACGACTTAGTACACACATCGGCGGTACAGACTACATAGGAATTAACTTCGGTTGCTATGAGGCACAGCATTTACAATATCTTAATACTTATTGATGCCGAAAATTCTCACTCCGTGTAGTTGTGGCAGCTTGGGAATCAGGACGCTCAAAAGTGAGGCAGTGTTTATCACAAAGTGTGTCGTGTCATACTTTGTGTAGAAACTTGCCAGGAAGTATCTGAGGAGAAAAATAGAGGGATTAATCCAAAAATAAACCACAAAATCTCTAATATGAGAAATAAGCAGCAAGACAAAACAAAGTGTGCAAGACATTTGCTTGTACATGTGCAGAGATTATATAGATTTCAGCTTTCATGACTATTCCAAAACATTTAATGCTGTAGTCATGATCAATGTTTTTTAAAGCTGAGGATGAAATCCAAGTGGTAGTCAGCGTGAAAGACCTAGGCTTTCATAAACACTTTAAATGTTACACTCCTATATTGATGTCTAAAGTATCCATCAGTGTAAAGACAGAATCACAGGATATGCGATACATACAGAATGATTGGAGAGATGGTGAAGAACTTTCTAGATGAGGTGAACTGCACGCCGTAGTCGAGCTGTTCCCAATGTGTAAGAAGTCTGGCTTTTCCTTGGTCCGGGGTCTCAAAAGGTGTGCCCTTCACCGCATGCATAAACACATACATTCCCTGTAGAGAGAAAAGCTTAGGTCAACAGTGCAGCAATTACAGTGTGTCATGAACAAGACCTTTGCAGGCTGATTAAATGCAGTGACCCATTTTCATTTTGTTTTCACCAGTATAACTTCATGAAACTGATGTTGTTGCGCAACATTTTTTCACAACTGATTCACTTTATCTTAAATACTGTAGGATTTTAATCATTAAAGCGTCCCAGCTGCTGTAATAAAGTCTGTGGTTACTTTCCTTTTCTCTGACAAACTAGAGATTAAAAAACCACCAGCTCAGGGTCGGGCTGCTGCAGGAGTTTTAGTGTCTGAACTGCAGAATATTTAAGGCAGAAAGGGCATGATGAGAGAAATCCCAACAGAAACAATGTAGATCTTGCCTGGTGCTTGTGGCACATAGGTCCTCATGTGCCAAAAAAAAAACAAAACAAAAACAGTTGAATAAGATGATCTCTTTTTATTGCAAACCAAGTTTGCTATCTTGGGAATGACACTCATTTCTAATTACACGCCTGCCTCTGTGTCAAAACACTGGAATTCAGCTTTAAATGGAAAACCTGCATTACAGAGGGAAAAGTAATAAAACTGAAATGCTGACATACGGCTAAGGCATAATCAGCACACTGCTGTTGTATTGTGAGGAAAACAATAGGCTATAGTTGACCTTAGTTGTTACTGTTAATAGCCTTCCATATTGGCTGTGATACACAATCCTTGTAAACTGCTTCGAGCTCGCATTATTCAATGATGTCACACACATCGACTTTGTTTCTTTATTTGAGGTCAGCCATGTAACAATGAAGGGTCAGTTTTGTCTACAGACCTTATGTGGAGTGGACAAGTTTTAATAATAGGTCACGTGTCAGGCTGCCACAAGGACAGCCTCCCCAAAATAGAGCATATTTCAAACAAGCACACACAGGCACAGGCAAGGGAGAGGGGAGCAGACACCAGCCTGTTTGGCTAAGCATGCAGGCAAGATTCAACTGGAAGCTTCATATAACTTTTGGCTAGTCGAAATAGATCATTGTTTTCAGAGCGATTTGACAATAATCTGAATTTTGTTGGTTTGTCTTCTGAGGGTGAGAACGTAACTTACAAAGTTGTGAATGACATTAGTTAGAGTCCACACCACTGGCACACTGAAGAAGGGTATGCTCAAGAGCACAATGTGAAGTATTCCAACACCAAGCGCATATGTCAGCCAGATCCCTCGACTGTTCATCACTCGAGTGTTTGGGTTCACCTCACTGTGTGCCACACCCACATTCATTCTGGTCTGTGGACAGAAAAATAAATAACATTCACAAAATACTGTTTCACTTTTGTGTAACGTTTATAGTCACTCTTATCCTCTTTATAATTTACTGGAAGAACTTAACATTTTAAGGTTATTAAAAACTCAACTTTCTATTCTACTTGCTTACTAATGCTTCTGTAACTTTATCTAGATTTTCTATGGTGTTTGTCTTAATGATCATTTGTGGCCTTTTGTAAGTACTGCAAGGGATTAAAATGTCAGATCAGTGTTTTGTAGTAATATCCATTGATCCGGCATTAACTGTTAAAATAAGCTCTGCATCCTACAATCCTGTACGAAGTTTTAGAAACACCCAAAATGTCAGTTATACTCATAATAAATGCTAAACAAATAGCATCTGCAATAACAATATGCCTTGAAGTTTAACTATCACCATGCAACATTTACAATTTTCTATGCAATATACCTATATTTGAAGTAGCAAATCATATCACCAGAGTAACACTGCAGCACTTTGCTCTCCCTGCAAGACTAAATGTGATAACAAGAAAAACTTCTTTTGCAATCTTCTTGAACTTTGCCCTGTGGCACACTTTAAGCTGCTTGACTGGATTAATGGAAAGGAACAAAGCTTAATTTGCAGACATCAAAGGAAATGATGACTTAATTTCCACACTCCCAACCAACTGGGCCTGATGCATGCCATGTCACATTACATTTTGGTATTTGGTAATTGATAACAGTTAAAAAATATGTAAAGGTACACGTATGAATGAGACGATATTTTAAAGACAACTTACCTCGTTTATTCTTAATTCATGTCTAAAATCACATGAGGTTTAGCACTAGGCCAAATGACTATTCAAGTGTGAAATAAAGTTATCAGCAACATTTGGGATACTGGTGCTCATCTCAGTCGATAGAGATTCTAAGTTAACACATGGAGTAACAGATGCATATGGTCTGATAACATATCTGATAACAAGACCATTTACTCGTACAAAGTAAGTCTCTGCAACGACAGTTCTGACAGACAACCGCAAAGAATCCTTAAACATGATTTGAGAAAAGTTACACACAAATAACAGTCACTGGCTCAGACTATTTGCTGATTTGCCGATTAGCAGGACTGTTAAAATAACTACGTAAACAAGTACATGAGAGGAAATTGACTACACGTCTTAGTGACTTCATGTAAACGAGTACAATACATTTCGTAATGTCTAGCATGCCCTGCTAAGTAGATGTGTAAACATTAAACGAGCCATAGAGATGTTTTCGTTTCCAGTACATAGCCCGACCCAATCCACCACTATTCGTAAACCAAGTTGGTCAGCATCATTGCGTAAATCATAAACGTTAAGTAACAGTATCTTAAATGCTTGAACGTGCTAAATAAAACACCCGGCGTTGCAAACTTACAGGTGGTAGCGAGCAGTGGAGGTATTTAAACAGACGAGGTGCTATGGAGAGAAATGGTTTATTCCCTTGTTGATGTGTGCAGATCCTAGGGTCTGACAGCACGTCGTAGTCTGACCCCGGCGGAAGTAGACGTGGTTTCAAGGCATCAATACTGGGGTATTTGATTCCCTATTTTGACTTCTCAGGCTTGGTCCTTCTCCTGCAAAAGTCATTCGAAACAGCCGGTTATGTTAAGGTTTAGAGTACATGTATTACAGTTAGGGTTAGTCAGAGCTTGATTGTGTTTCGTTTTGGTGCGGCAATCCTCCCGAAAACTGGGTGTTTACATCATCCTGACAAACGGGTGTACCTGTTAGTTTGAACTCAGGGTAGAATTTACACTGTAGATTTTAGCAAACCCGCCCTCTCGTCACTTCCATCCAATCAGCGGGTAAAAGAGGGGGCGGGAATCCGGTCGTTTCCGCCTTGTGACTGAACTGTCTGTTTATGAAAGATTCTACGGGGACTGTAGTCAAGAGAGCTCGTGCAAGTCAGTATTTAACTGTTAAACTAGCTAACGTTAATTTTCAGTTTAATACGAGTTTGTAATGTCGCCACATTGGAAAATTGGGATTTTAATAGTATGATAAGTATTCAAAGCAGCCCACGTAAGCTGCAGACCAGTTAGCTAACATTAGTAAAGTCAACTTACTGTAGAATTACTTTCAGCTAATGTTATGAAGATGTTCACCGTGACATGAGGTTTATCAGTATTTAATTATTTTCTCACGAAATTCTGTCTTGACGAAGTTACTCGACTGTTTCGTCTAGCAGTCAACTGGCATTTGTCTGTCGCTATGGCTTCAATTCTACCTTAGATTTTATTTATTTATTTTTTTATTAAGGGACAATGCACATTAATTGACATCACTGTAAATGTGCCAGTGTTAGTCAGCTGCTACATTAAGCCGTAAACTATCATGTGACGTCATGATGTGTATGGTATGGTGACTAATCGAATATCAGTAGTGCGAATTGCATTTGGAAATGCATAATCTATCATATCTAATCGATCATATATAATGGAATACAGTTCTGTGTGTCAGTGAGCAGTTGAGAAGTCGTACCAACTAGTAGCTCTCATTTGTAACATTCAAATTCACTATTATTTCTATGGTCAACAGCATAAATACATATAAATAAATCACTATTTTTAACATAAAGAATCCTTGTGAACCATAAGTCAAGACTTGAATCTCTGTTTTCATTAAGTCAAGCTTGCTACTTTAATGCAGATGGGCACAAACAGATTTGTTTGCCTCACATAATGATTTTATGTCAGTTCTCAGTTACAAGTGTGCCACACATGAAACCACTTCACCTGTTTGCTATAGTTTAAGTGCAGCTCCACTGTGTACATTTTGTTGAAATCACATGCTTACTTACATGCTCCCTGCCATGAGAGTCTTTTTTAACATTTCTTTGGTGTTTGGGTAAGACCAGTTGAACATTGGGCTCAGTGACATTTTTGGATCCATAATCAAAACATTAACAATAACAACTACAATTGGTTTTAAATAGCTTTTTCTTAATAGTGTTTGTTGTGCCACTTATTGGCAGACATGTATATGTTTGCTGTTGTTAATGACTCAACAACAGAAGTACCAAACTAAAACCAGACTTTTCTCTAACAGATACCCGGAATCATGAAGCAGCTGCCATCAGATACTGTGCGGCTGCTATCGAGCTCCCAGGTCATCACGTCAGTGGTGAACGTTTTGAAAGAACTGATGGAAAATTCCCTGGATGCTGGGGCTTTAAGCATTGACGTTAAACTGGTACGGTGTCGTCAGTCTGTACAGCAACATCGTTGTTGTATTTGATAATATAATTTGCAGTTGTACTGGCAGTGAGTGTACAACAGTATGTATCGACTTTCTCATTGCAGGAGAACTATGGTTTGGACCGGATCGAAGTACGCGACAATGGCCAGGGAATCAAAGCTGCAGATACTCCTGTGATGGCCATGAGACATTTTACATCAAAGATCAGTAGCCATGAGGACCTGCAGCATCTGGAAACATACGGCTTCAGAGGAGAAGCACTGGGCTCCATCTGTGCTGTGGCAGAGGTGATAAGTAATGAATAACCGTAGTTATCAAATGATGGTCACATCAAAAGAATATCAGACAAATGGGCCAGAATTAACAGAAGTTATACATACTGATCTTAATTTGTATACATGTACTGAACGGATAACAAAGAAAAAAAATACATCTCACATATGCATACATTTATAATACTTAACATATATTATTACTCTTCCGTTTATCAGTATAGGAATCGATATACATTCTGATTTATTACAGTCTATAAACTGGTGTTTTTTGCTGATTCTCTTCAGGTGGCTGTCACCACAAAGACAGTGGAGGATGACATCAGCACCCAGTACACACTTAACTTCAAAGGGGAGATTGTTTCTCAGAAGCCATCTCACTTAGGTCAAGGTAAGGCACCAGTAATTTACAACAAAATCAACTGTTTTTATGTTATTGTTATATTCAGACCCTTGTGCCACAGCAAGGGGTCTGAATATTTAATAGATAAGTGATATGGAGTTTTTGATTTCCAATAAATTTGCAAAATTTTCTTAAAAACTTGTTTTTGCTTTGTCATTGTGGGTTATTGAGTGTAGCCTGATGGGCAAAAATTTTAATTTTTATCAGTTTAAAATTAAATCTACAACACAACAAATTGCAAAGCCACTGCAGGTCATTGGGCTTTTAGACAAATTCATTTGCTGATGTACAAATTCTGATTGGGTCCAGTTTACTTTTTAATTATTTTTTGAAAATATTGATAGTATGGGTAGACCTCAATTAACAAAATTACTGTGAAAATATTCAAAATAATGCACATATTGACAAATACGTGTCCAGGTAGTTCTAGTCCACCTGCATCCTTCAGCCTTGTTGTAGGAAAAGTACATTTTATATCAAAAGCTGTTACACATCTTTGTTCTTTTGTGTTTTCCAGGTACAACAGTGAGTGTACTGAAGCTTTTCAAGAATCTCCCAGTGAGAAGACAGTACTACTCTTCTACCAAGAAGTGCAAGGAGGAGCTGAAGAAAGTACAAGACCTGCTGATGGCATACGCCATTATAAAACCTGACCTGAGGCTCTCACTCGTTCACAATAAGGTTAGGAACTTATCCTCACTTTTCAGATATAACCAAGTAAAGAACAAATATGTGGAAATATTTTTTCTGGAGCATGGTTTAAATTTTTACCCTCCCTCCAAGAAAACTGAAGTCTGTCCTAACATAGTTCCTGTTTATACATAATACACTCCCTCACACACAGCAACCGCTAGGTGTCCTCATTTGTCTTCAAATGACTAAACATGACTGGTTCAACAGCCTCCACAGTTTCTGTTAATATGCCCTGAGTACCTGTTGTATAGTGTCATATTTGTGGCAACATCACTGATAACAGTGATATGTGTAAAAGCACTGAAGATGTAAGATGTAAGATAAGTTCCCACATAGGAAGTTCAGTTATATCTTAGAGAGAAAAAAGGTACAATTCATGCTTGATTCCATCAAATATTTTGTCCTCAACATTTTGATACTATTACTAATGATAATAATAATAATATTTATTTTCTTCAATTATATTTTTATTGAACATTCTACCTAATACATGACTCAGTTTAACCGTTATACTGAGCCAGTGGATAGTTTGTAACTGACATTCAACTTAAAAATGAAAAATTTAAGAACAGTAATAACAATAAACAAATTGAAGAGAGGGAAAAATACAAAAAGACTTTACAATTCCACCCAAATTCACATTTCACATGTCTGATAATATGAATATTGCAAAAGTGAAAAATATAAATTGTCTCCTCAGCTCACAGTTGTGCACAGAATTTGGTGTTTGTATTTCTGTAAAGATTCTCTGTCAAATGTGTAAAGTTAAGAAAGTTACTGAACAATATTCAGAAGCTCGTCCAGTAAATGATCAATCAAACGCAATCTTGAAGGCAGAAATTGTTTTCAGCCTCCTGTTGTTTTGTTGTCAGTACCAATGTGCGTCAGTGAGCTATGAAATCGTTACGAGTAATGGAAAATATTCGTTAGGCTCGTAGAAACATGTCGACTAAACATTTTATAGAATCAGACGAGTACAGACTGACAAACCTGAAAATGCTGGGTCAGTGAGGCTGTGATGTCTCTGCTTTAGAAAAGTTCAAGTCATTAACCTTTTTAAAAAAAAGCATGTTTTATCACACTGTATATCTGCATGTCATTTTTAAAGGAACAGCCCAAGATCCCCACATTAGTCTGTTTATGAATTGAGTTGTTTTTAGATGCAAAGAAAATATTTAACTGCTGGAGAACTTTTCTACATAGCTGAATGTTATGAAAATAATGTGTGTACAATATTAATTATAAAAACATTTGTTGTAGCTTTTAGAGTCTATACACTAAAATAGTAATACCTTTAAAAGATACAGCCTGACCTGATCACAGAAACAGTCACCAGTTATAGTTTGTTTGTTAAAATAAAATTATTATTTTCATTATTGATTCATCTAAATTCCCATCATAATTTCCTGGAGCCCAACATGACACCAACATGCTGTCTGATCCACAGTCCAGAGCCCAAATATATTGAATTAACATTGATATAAAACAGAGAAGCAGAACATCTGCATATTTGACAAGCCTGAACCACAGAGTGTTTAGCATTTACTTGGTAAATGATTTACATGATTAGTTGGTTATCTTAATCAATTCACTCATTAATTATTTAATTAATTTATCATTTCAGCACTTGTATTTATTAAGGACATTGAGGGATAAAGTGTGTTAACATTTAAGATAATGGCTTGAATGAAAGGGGCTTATTTATATTTAACCAGCCTGCTGTAATGACATTCAGATGTGGCTTTAAGATCCGGATGTTGTTGAAATTAAATGTCATCAAAATGAATATTAATATTTAAAATTTTAGACATTAAATCCTTAAAAGGAGGCAATTAAGCTCTTAACTGCTAAAACCTCCAGTCTATAACTGGAAATCTAACAAATATCACTGTAAGATCGCACTGCACAGCATTCAAGGAAGTGTCAGAGAAGTCCAGGGCAATAACTGCAGATCTATAAGCTTCTGTTTTACAAAACCCACAACAGTAGGGCTGAGTATTGCAGTGTTTGCCCCTGAATGCTATGGAGTGCTTATGAACTAAAACTCTATGTCATTGGTTTATTAAAATGGTTTATTTAATTTTAGGTCAGAATGATAGCATCAGCAAACTCTGTCAGTAACCTGAATCTTAACTCTAGATGACCCTGAACATCAGTAAATCTACAACCTATCTTCTTAAACCAATGAAATGTTAGGGTTGTGGCCAAATCCCTAAAACACCCATAGATCATTACAGCCACACCTTGACTCCACAGAGAATAGTAATAATAGTCATGAGTTTTCCTTCCATCCATAAAAAATGTGACTCTTGCAGTATTGATGGTTTAGTGTTTTTTCTTTGTTAATACCCATTAGAAAATGGAAACAGCAGAACAAGTACTTAATTGTTGGTTAGTTCACAATAGAAACACACAACATGTTCCACAATGTCCTATTTTGGTTACGTAACTTAAAATATTAATCATCATTTATCATCAATTTAACCATCAGGCGTTAGTGATCATCACACTTATACTCAGATTGCTTGTTTTTGGTTTAAGAACTAAAAGAAAATTCAATTATTTTGGTTTTAAGCAGGTTTCTAGCCTAGTTGTGTTTTTATCACCTGTCCCCTGAGCTGCACATGGTTGCATAGTTTTGGTGTACACAATAAACAGCAAGTTATTGTATTTTGGTTCATTCCATTACATAAGATTAGATTAGATTATATAATTTAGCAGTTGAAATTTCCATCCCTTACACTGTTTCAGACCACAGCTATTGTCAGGTGCCCCAAACACAAATATGGCTGCCTCTGAACTCAGATTTGGCTGATTATGATGCCTGAGTAAGTTGCTGAACACAGCTGCAGCCTTAACCCCAGATTCTGTTTCAGGCTGCAGCCACTTTGTACACAGAAGTGTGTAGGTGGTGTGGGTCACAGAGGGGCTACATGACGGCCGTATAAATTTCATGGAAATCAGTTTTGAGGTTGTCAGGTTAGAGTAGTGAATCCGTTTCGCACAATCAGCACTCAGTTGCCCCTATCCTTTATCTCCAACTCTGCTATTTGGCTTGTGTCGTGTTTCACAGCTTCTTCAAGAACTGTTTACAGGAGTGATCCATTTACATGTGCCAGATTATGTATTTAATAGCTGAGACATGCCCTGCAACAGGGTGCATGCTTTCAGAAATCAACACCCACGAGATATATTCACTGGTGGACACAAACTACAAGCCCACTGGTGGGTGTCAACATATTTTGTACCCAAACTATTTCCTGATCTTTTCTGTCAAAAATGTCGTGTCAAAAGAGGCAAGTTTGCAATCAAATGTTTTTTTTCTTAGAGATGACATTTTTTTACTTCATTGATGCTTATGTAATATTTTATAAAATTATATACATTGATTATTAGGAAAATAATTATGGCTTACATTTATTATGCCATAATTTAATGATATTTTGTAATCCATGAACAAAATCAAGAGTCCTGAATATTTGATTTACTTTGTGTTGACTCAGCTGTTTTCACAGCTCTTGTCTATAAGTAGTTGTTTCATGTAGCATTTTGGGTTTGAGGTTTTAATGATGACTTTAGAATCACGGGTCTCGTTATGATTTATTTTTTAATGATAATTTAAATACCCAATTCATTTCATTCCCTACATTTTGACATAACCAGTAGCAGTTTTTGTCCATCTCTTACTGAATCTCTTGACAAACAGAATATATGAACTTCAGATATATTGCCGGCTCAGTGGCCCAGTCCCTGTCTTGACAGGTTTTTATGCAGTGTGATTCGTCTGATGTGGACTCATGGAAGTTGACTGGTGTCATATTGTTCCAGGTGGTAGTTTGGCAGAAGGCCAAGGTGGCCGATCACAGAAGTGCCCTGCTTGCTACACTGGGGCCCAGTGCTGCTGCCAACCTGCTCCCTTGCCACCATCACCAAGAGCAACCAGAGGTTAGTTAAGGGGAAAAATGCAGAGATGAGAGAAAAATGGAGCAATTCTCTAAGAAATACAAAACACTTGCAGGTTAGGAAAAGATACCTGAGTTTGTCTGTCTTCTGTCCTCTAGCAGAAATGCATGTATGTACATTAGTAAAAAAAATCACTTGACATTTTATACAAGTCAGTTTGGAATAGTTAACCCTGTCCAACTGTAGGCAATGTGCTAAGTTGTGTCATATCATGGGATGTAGGGCTCACGTTTATAAGTTTCAGATTTCACGGTCAACTGTTATTTTTATTGTTTCACATGAACCATTACTCGGCTGGACAAAGTCACCTCTGAACATTGTAACAAACGATGCAGTGAATGTGAAGAGACTACATGGTGTGCATTGCACTCTGATGGATGAGCGTCACAGGCACATAGCAGGGCTGAGCTGGCACAGAGCCGCATGCTACCCCTCCCACCTCACGCACACACCTTGTACTCTGTGCTCTCATACTGTGGCTCCCATGCCACTTTGCCCTTCATTATGGAGCCATTACGGCAACAATTCCAACCTAACATTACACGTTCTTTTAGCCTCGTTTTCAGTCAAAATACACGTCAAATAAAATATATTGACATGTGGGTGAAATAATGTGATTCTACAAGTGTCAGGAATGTTCAAGAAGTCGGTGACACTGTGATAAGAAATAAGAAAAGAACTTGAAAACAAGTTTTAAATCATTTGCTTTGCCTTGGAAATGAATGATGATGATGACTCAGTGACTTATTTGTTTTAGAAAAAGAAAATGTAATGCCTGGTTAAGATGGATAATTTTTGCAGAGCAAATGAGTGCATGCACGTTATACTTGACTGTGAGCTAATAACCTCATCAGGAACGCCTGGTCTCAAGCCAGCAAATGTGGTCAGTTGGTGGCTGGCCAACTATTTCTTTGCCCTTTTCTTTTGAGTTCTTTCCTGATGAAGAGTGAATTATTTTTGTTAGCTAAGCTTTGCTGTGCTGATCGTAATTGAATTACTGTTGAGCGGTAACTTTCTGCTTGGTCACGGTAGGTGTCATGTGGCTCGTACCTGCTGCCAGGCTCCCAACTAATCTAGTCTGACAGATATGGAGCAGCCCTTTTCACCCTGTTTCTCTCTCATTTACCTCTTTGTTGTTGTTATTTTGCTGCTGCACTTTGGTGCCCAGTTATGAGAACAACCTTTCACCTTTTCCTCTTACTCCCTGTAGCAATGAAAGAGAACTTTTCTCCTCTCTGTCCCCAAGACCAAAGCTTAGTGATCAAGGGAACCAGGTTGACAATTTCACCGGGGCCTCGCTCGGGGAGAGTCGTAAGAGCTATTCCTCTGCAGAACAAAATGTGACACTCGTTTTTGGCAGCATGACTACACACAGACGCAGCCCTTTGGGGCCAGAGGTGCCATTCATGCTCCCATAAAGTGACCCTAATGAGCAGAAATAGAGAGAAGCATATGTGCCATGACCTGAAACAGCAGTTCATTTATTAACTTCATTGGCGTGCGTTGCTGCTAATAATGAGCCCTGGGCCATGTGGAAAAAAAGCATAGCTATTCTCTGCTTGCAATCTGTGGAACATTAACAGCTTTCCATAATTTCTTACTAGCTTACATTTATAATGGAGTTTCAAGTTTTCTGCAGAGTGATCAATTTTAGCTCAGGAGAACTCCCTCTGGTGGGATTTGATGATGTAACATGATGTAAATTTTAATAGAAAAATGTCAAACACCACCTTGTTGCACATGTTCATAGTGAAGTGTGCATGTAGATACAGATAAAAGCGTCACTGCCTGTCCTGTCTTAATTGAAAATGTAATGATGCTATAATTTATGTAATGTTCAAGTTTTAAAACTATTAGTTACACTATTTGTTACACACCTGTGCCAGCCAGCTACTGAGCATGTAAATATATAAGTGTTTGCAAAACTATGGAGCTCTCAGTTCAGAATCTAGCAGCAAAACTCAGTCCTTTATTACAGCCATTATTTGTTATGTAATGTCATATGTTTCTGGTTCACAGCATTTGACTCATTTCTGAACATTTGATGTATGATATCTATGTTATGCTTATCTTGTGTTGTAGTATTGATATTATCATTGTTCTTATTTTATTCAGATTTCTTTAGATGGCTTCTTTCCAAAGCCTGGAGCAGATTACTCTTCTACAAGCTCATCAAGCCCTGACAAAACATTCATATTTGTCAACAACCGGCCTGTCCACCATAAAGATATAATGAAGGTAGAATCATGAATCATTTTGGATAAATCAATGAAATGGACTTTATACAAGAATTACTTTTTAGTATCTAACACTTTTCTTTTCTTTTTTTGTTTCCCTGAAAATATTATCCTGGGACGATTGTGTATTTGATCATCAGCTGTTGCGTCAACACTACGCTGCTCAGTATCCAGATGACGCAGCCCGAAATCGTTATCCCACCCTCATGCTTAAAGTTAATGTTTCACCCTCTTCAGTCGATGTCAACCTGACACCGGACAAGACCCAGGTTCTTCTTCATGACAAGGTAGCTATGAAATTCAAGCTCAGTCACAATCAGTTGAATCTGTGGAGGATTGAAAATTAAAAAAAAAAAAGACGGGAGAAGATGTGATTTGAAATTAAACTCTGTGTACCATTTGTCATCTGTCTGACATTTAGGAGGCTGTTCTCACCGCAGTAGAGGCATTGCTGGTTTCTCTCTATGGCTATCGGCCTAGTTGTGACCCCTCAGCTGAGAAGCAGCTTGGCCACGAGACATCCCCCTCGCCATCTAGTCCTCTGCAGACTGATGCCTCACGACCTGTCACTGAGCGAAGTGTAGAGATGGATGACAGTGTGTCCAACCACAATGGTAACTTCCTTAAGGAAGCACCTAAACACAGTGACACAGCTCTGTCAGCAGCCATAATCAGTGACGCTTCACTGGACCGTCAGGCCTCAAACAGCAGCTCCTCATCCTCTGTAGCAGAGGACTGGATTGTGAACCAGATCCCAGCCGGGCGGGAGTCTAACTTTTCTCTTCATGATGATGAAAAAGCTCAGAGCTGCACTCAGACACTAGAAACTGGTTCAGCAAGTGAATCCCTGGAGAGACTTGACAATGTGGTGTCAGCAGCAGACACAAGCAAAGAACAGCTATTAGCCGAGGACTGGAGCCGGGGGACGGCTCTGACTGACCCCTTAACACGAGAACCCCTGCAGCCTGTTAAAATCCATCAACCCTCAAAGCACAACCATTCTGACTCAGATGAGTTCAAGAGTCAGAGCAGCTCGAACAAAAAGATGTTCAACGCCATCACAGAGAAGCAGGCTGCTCTGACGGCCTACGACCTGATCAGCAACCGCGCCATGAGGGCACCGCTGTCTCCTGCCGCCCTGTTCCAGAAGGAGGCCAGAGCTGAGGTCCTCAGGGAGAAACCCACAGCCAGCCTGCAGGATATCAGTGTCGCTGTTCACGAGAGGTGGAAAAATCTGCGGGAGGAAGACCGTAAGAAGTGAGTTTCCAGACTTTCACCTCTCCAAGCAGTTGTTTCCATTTCTTGTTATTTGCAAGGCAGAGAGAGGGGGGAAAGTTTGACCTGTCATTTACACGTGAAAAGCCTAGACTGGAAATGTTGTTGATATGAGCTGTGTTTCTAATTTCCAGACAACTGTGCCTAATAGGGAGCTAGGTAGACAACATTTTCCGCAGTACAACAGGTATCACTAATGATGAAATGTCCTCTGTTTCCACAGTATTCCATCTACTCCCATGTCTCATTTGTTTTGGTTGTGGTAGATTTTAGGTAGCATGTATTCAGCATTAATAATGGCACTAAGACAGGATATACGAATTTAATAGAAGTTGACTGATAAGAACTGGTATTTATTGATTTGTAATTAGAGACCCAAACATAAATTTAATATCTAAATGTCCTGTTTGCAGGTTCAATCCATTATCTTTGTTCATTGAAAAATCTCACCTACACTTACTTCATAAGTGGTGTCAGGAGTGACACATAGTTGGCTAGTCAAGAACAGAGTTGGCGCAGAACAGATGGAGGTAATGAGTGTTTGTGTTTGACCCTTGCTCCCCTCAGAGTTAAAGGATTTACATTAATGAAGGTAAGACAGGAGTGGAGTTATTTGCAAAAAACAAACAGATCAAAGTCATGTAAATCAAATGTGTGTGTATTTTTGGTAGAACAATGCATCATTCTCCAGGCTCAAGGTGTGTGTTTGCTTCCGACTCAGCTCTGAGATGAGTACGAAAATGGTCCAGATGCACATGAACACGTCAGTAAAAGAAAGAACCTTCCGATCTCTATCTGCTGAGCTACTCAGCTAGCTTCAAGGAAACTGCTTCAACCCCATTATGTTAGATTACTGCATTCCAATTTCAAGCAATTGCAAGGTTGGAAAATGTGTATCAGCAGTGCTCGGGGCCTTATATAAGGTATGGAAGAGTGTATGGAAAAAGCCATCTGTTTAGAATCCTGCCTTGCTGTACTGCTGTCTGAAACATGAAGTAAGATGTGGCAGGTACTTGGCTCTTTCACCTCCACTGTTAAGTGGGACACCATTTCTAGGAATTATTCTTACAGTTCATGAAACAGGTTAGTTGAATAATGGGGTGCTGTGTAAGACCTAATGCTGAACATATGAAGATCTATGGAAACATTAGTTGGCAATTTTGCTGAGGAAAGGAGCCTACATATATCAAACACTCAAAAAATTCCCTGCATTTACATCGGGAACAAGCTGTTACTTGGTATTGTAAATCTTATTTTAGGACAGATGGCAGCTTAGCAGCCGTGCTACGCAGAAGCAATGGCTACAAGACACAAATAATAGTTATGCTTCTCCGAAGGTAGACATATATGTCTACGAAGAGAAGGATGTTATGGGTAACCATTGGTCACAGAGGTGTGGTAGTGATGTGCAAAGCCGTACTTTTCAGTGTCCTGAATCACTAGATTCAAAAAGATTTGTTTAAAAGATTTGTTTACTGAATTGTTCAGTGTTTGACCCGGAGCTCCGACTGCGTAGTCCCACTTCCCACACTGAACTGAAACACAGATGACTATCGTCATGATCCCCAGCTGACTGAGAAATGAACTTATCGTCTCAGGAAGTGATTCAGTTCAGATTGCTCACCCAAAGATTTGTTTTTTGAGTGAATCATTTGTGAACGAGACAACACTTGATAATACAGAGGATGAACTATTTGAATGTGCTACATCCAAGGATAGAAGACCCACATCCACCCCACGCATACATAACACACATCACCTAAACATAGGAGGTACTCCTAGTATTCCACGAGAGATTCCACACGTAAAGAATCAAAATCGAAGCAGTGGAGGTCGAGATATCCGGACTTTCACCTAGTATGGGTCACTATCCAAACACACTCCAATTCCCTTAATGCAGCTCTGCAGTATCTAAAGCCCACTTCTTTCTAACCTCATACCTCCTGTTTGTTAAGAAGGTTTTAGCCCAAGCCAACATAACCCTGATGACATCATTAGCCCAGTCTTCATTTACACGCTTTTTGTCTTACAAATCACCACATCAGTGCACACTGGATCCGATCTAATAACAAAGAGTGTTGTCACTGCTATTGTAAGTGTAAAAGATTTGGTTGAACCCTGCAGGTACGAGGAGAAGGCAAAAAAACACCTGGAGCACCATGACCAAAGGACCAAGTTGGCCTCTGCTGAGGGCCCCAGAGAACCAAGTGTGAGCATCGCAACAACCCATGTGCGCAGCCAGAAACGCAAGGCTCCACTGTCCAACCAGCAGCTGCTGGACGAGCTCTTCTCTGCACAGCCACAAAAGAAGATGAAGAACCCTGCACCTAAGCCCTCGCAGCCCCTCCCCTGCAGCGTGGCTGCCCTTCGGCTGCAGCTTCAGCGCCTCTCATCCCAGAGCCGCGCAGCGCCACGGGGCCTCCATCTTGTAAACCGCCTGGCCTCTCAGAGCGCCTGGGTCATTTTATGTGGTCAGAGGCTCATGTTGTTAAACCCATTTCGAGTGGAGGAAGCCTTGCTGTTTAAGAGACTTCTAGAGAATAATATACTTCCAGCAGAGAGTCTGCAGAACCCTATACAGTTAACAGATGGGTAAGGTATCACTCACCTCTCACCAGCAAAATGCCAACCCTGACAGTTGTTTTCCTTGTGGAAAACTGCACACTCATCAAATTTTTTCACATACATATATGTTGGAGACTAATTTTTAGACAAACAAATCCTAATCCTTGGTTTCTATTAAATCTGCTGTATGAAAATACACTGTTGTGTGTTGACATCTCCTTGTGTCTCTTTTCTAGAAGTCTAGGAGGAGCTGAATATACAGATGCTTTGTGCAACATGGAGAAACAAAGCCCTGAGCTGAACGGGCAGACCTTCTTCTCTGATCCCAGGCTCGTAGCTAATGGCTTTAAAATCAAACTCAGTCCAGGTACATTGTAAATAAAGTTTTGGACCATAATGCTATTGTATGAGGCAGATCAGTATGTTTACAACTGATGGAACGGTATCAGTAACACTCCCCAAACAGAGGCACAGCATAGAAGTCTACAACTCAACCAATCAATCAGAAAACAAGGCTTTCTTATTTTGTGAGTCATGCTGTTTAAAGGTCTAATGGATTGTTTAGTTTTATTTAACAAATGTTGGAGCCGTTTGCCATCATTAATGTCATAGTTCACCAGTCACTTAAAAATGTCAAACATACAGTCGCCAGCAACTGGATTACAAGCAATTATTTCTGACAGAGTTTCAGTGTATTGGATTAGTTGTGGATAAGACAAAATAGTCCCATTCCTTCAATGAATGATGAAAAGGAGAAACAGGATTTTGTGAATCATGACAGAAATAAGATGTAGGACCCGACAATCTGTTTTTCCTCTATAATCGATCATCAGTTTAATAACTTTGACATGTCATGACATCAGTCATACAGGATATGTACATTGTAAAGGTTATCTTTGAACTCAACAATTAACACAAGATACACAGCTAGTATGAGATATGTAAGTAATTGATTTAAAAAAGTCTCTTTTCTCATTGTATTACATTTCTGGTTCTAATATCAATAGGTCTGGACTGACAGATTATTCTGATAATTACAGTATACATAAGTGTTGTTTAACCATGTATATACTGTAATAAAGTCTAATCCAAATTATAAAGATTATGTAAAAAATAAAACGGAATAACTTCCATAGTTAAACATATTTTCACCAGCTTTTTCGTTATCATTGTGACATTACTTCTCTGCTCGCTTGCTTGTTTTTGTTGCTGGACCAGTTCACCTCAGTTGACACTGGCGCTCTGCCCAACAGCGTGGTCTCACAGTAGGTTTGTACCCCAGTGTGCAGGTGATGAGAATGGTTGCCCTTTAAGAAATTCGAGGAATTTTCATTTGGCACTGCCTGCCTCGGTGGGTGTGCATGGGATTGAAGGTAGCGGCGTATATAAGATGGCTTCATTTCACAATCTCTGCTGAATATCATTGCTTTTTGTTAGGATTGTTGAAAATGTGTTGTGTTTATTTTCCAGGATTTGTGTACAGTGTGTGCAGTTACTGTTATTTTTAAATTGAAAAATATATATGCTGTTATTACAATAAGGAAATTAATTTAATTAATTTAATAGCACCTATGGACTATACTGGACATGATAGACAACCAGCGCAGAAATATTCTCGGTCTCTGCATCTCTAGTTTTTATTTTTACTTGTCTGACTTCATTTTGCATCCAAAGTCATGTATCAGAATTATAAATTGTCCATGATTTGCAGTATTTCCTCATGAAATGAGAAGCCATCATTCTTCCACCCTACAAGACAACTTCCTTCCAGTCTGCTGGGGCTTCTATTAGTCATTTAACACTCCATTTGGCCCTTCGCTTGTTTGACTTGGTCATCAGTTCGGCCGTAAACCACAATATTTATTTATTATTCTTTCCTGGAGATAGTAGTAGCGTCTGGAGTATATTAATCCTTGTTTTCTGCTTGTTTTGGCCAGGCCTCTCGTCAGCCGAGAGACATCTGGAAGTGACAGCAATGGCAGACTGCGTGCCTTTCCTCGGTGTGGAGGACCTCAGGGAGATCCTGACTGCAGTTCTTCACAGGAAGGCCAGGACTGTGCAAGAGTGCCGGCCACTGAAAGTCACAAACTACCTACAAGTGAGAGATGCTATGAATGGAGAATAAGGGTGGCATCACTTAACTTTTCTGTCTGTTTTATTAAATATTTGAATTGTGACCTTCACAGGGTGAAGCGGTGAGGCTTGCCCGTCAGTTGCCTACAAAATTATCCAGGGAGGATGTGGAAGAAACCCTCCTACGGATGGAGCAGCAGCTTGGTGAGAAAAGCCAGACCTGCATCCATGGACGGCCATTTGTCCAACACCTGTCTGACATCCCCTCCACAGACCAGGAGGCTAAGGGTCTGCTGCGGCCTTTAGAGCTGTAAAAACAAGTAGACACCTTAATGAAAAATGACAGCAGTGCAATATGAAACAGTTGTCTAATTCTAATGCAGCTGAGTATTCTCCATTCTCCTCAAATAATGTTCAACTTTGTTACAACCACAATATAAAAATAAATATATTTTTCCACATTTTGTGCTTTGATCAAGCATGTGGTGTATTTTGTGAAACTAACATGTATTATTATAGGTGTTGGCTCAGAAAGTAAAGCTACTGTTATCTCAGCATCTACTGTTGAGAAATTCACTTAATACATATTTTCTCAGTAGTTGAGAACTTTACTGGCACAATATGAATGTGCAGTATGGTGGTGTTAAGAGACCTGCCATACATCTATTTCATAAAAGCTGATAAAGCTTTCTAAAAGCTTCTGTCAGGCATTTAGATACGTCCTGCAAGTGTAAGTTTCATGGTACAACTAAAGCCAGTAGCATTATTCATCAGGTTCTTTGCAACAGAAACAATGCAATGTTCTCATTTCAACCCCACTTAATTAACGAAAATGTGCCAGAAGATGCAGGGACATTGAGACGTTTTTTTTGTGTCGTATCAGGTAGCAACGATGTGTAATTGAAATGAACATTTACAGAAAAAGTAAAACTGTTTCATTAAGCTTTACAGCACCAGGGATAATAGTTCATAAGCAGATGATCTATTTTCAGCTGTTTGTTATGTATTTGGTGTTTTGCTTTTGCAGACTGATTTCTTGTATGGTTTGCATTTTCCTGGATTAATAACAGCAGTCTTCAAAATGCACAGTGACATCTGATTCCCTGACTTGATTTCTGTCCAAAAGCCAGAGTATCTTACTACCCCTCAGCCTCATTGTGGCACCATTGAAATGGGTATTGGCAAGCTCCAAGCAAGAGATGTACACTGTGCCAGCTACTACCCATAATTCTTTTCCCTCAATTAGTGCCAGCTGCTCGGCCTTTAGTATTGACAGATACTTGTATATTATCCCTGGCTGCATTAAATGCTTCAGAGATTTGCACTGTAATTTCAACCACAAAGTTTAGCAAATCCTTGACACTGCGCTAACTCGTAGTGGTGCCACTTCCTAAAGGCATTAGTCTATTACTGCCTCATTCTGGTGTTCAGTGCTGCTTGAGGTTTCCTGTGGGGAAACAGACAGAGAGAGTTTGGCTTCAACAGCTACCACAGGAGGGGACTGACAAGCATTTAAGTATAAAAGTTTTTTGATATAATTTCTTAATCATGTTCAGGAGTTCTGATGTAATGATAAGTGGTTGTATCTCAAAAATGGATGTAAGAGGAGAGCATTTGGTTTAGTCAGTACACAAGTATTGAGTGTGATTTGACCACACTTGGATAACAGGAATACATATAGCCCCACAAGGTTTTCACTCATCACCTTTTCATATGGACACTGAATCCCACCACAGGGAAAAGTGCAATCTGATCACTCATCTTATCATAATATTATAGTTAGGACCGTGAAAGGTCAAACCACAGCACATGTCTTGTTTTACGTGGCCTCTGCTGAGAGAACCCACAGATGGCTTCAGCATTGCTGCAGGGCCAACACTCTGCAAAGTGCCTCTGGGAAGGGGATAAATGCCAGTGAGGACCCCTGCCCCTCCTCTCACCCTTCGCCTCTCGCTCCTGCACGGACTCTTGTTTTAAACTGCTCACTGCTGGATACGTGCTCCGCAGTTGCTTGTTTCCATAAATGCGTGCAGCAGCAGAATCTACTCTGTACATGCTGCCTTTGGCACCCAAGGGGCATATCAGAGTAATTGGGGAGGATTAACTGATGATCATCTTTTGACCATGTGACCACACTGTTTAAAAGGTCAGCAATGGTTCACTTTGCCAGCTGTCTTTTAAAGCACCTGCTACACTGTTTTTGACATTTTCTTCAACTAAATTGAGGTATTTGCTAATGATCAACCCAACGTGAGGAATTGGAAAAAGGAACAGTTCGGGAATGCATGCGAAACGTTGAATACCAAAACCTTGATACAAGAATACTCAGTTCACATACAGCGTCATCTAGATAGTTATCTGCTCTCCTATTACAGTGCAGAGCTACTGCTTGTCAGGTCGTATTCAGCAGCCAGGGCAACTGTACACCACTCTCACAACCCAGAAGTAACCATGCACTTTAACAGAGTCATCAAATCCAAAATAAAATTACATGAACTATAATTAACCCCTTTCCTACTCTATTTTTTGGAACTGTTACATGAAGTAGTCACATGGAGTACCTTGCGCAGTACTGGGTACACGCACCACCTGCTAGAAATATGCCACCCTAGAAATATGAAACTAGATGAGGGGAAAGACAACATTTTTATATACCTTTGGGAATGCATGTGCACATAAATTTAATTATGTCACACTTTTAAATATAGTCATCAAATGAGAAAAGAAAATCACCAGTTTGAAAATATTACATCGACAGGGTGTGGGTAAAAATGACTAATAATCACTAACCTTAAAATTTATCTTAATCATATTCCCTAAAATGTCCATGAAGGCAGTCAGTCACGTCTTGCCATTTGTTCTAAGACGACTAGCTTGTCACCCAAAAAAGCTGTTCTGGTACAGCTGTTCAGATCTACAATATAAATACTTAAAAGAGTACAAACTAATCCATTATAGGCATCCTGGCTTTAACCCACAAAGCTACCTCTGTCTAATGCTTGCAAATGAATCATATTACAGATGTTAATTATTAATTATTACCTGAATTTCACCTACGGGGTAAATAAAGTATATATCCATCTATATTGATATTCAACAGACAATTATTAAAGAAATCCCAAGATTTCCTTAATTAATTTTCTTGAATTCTGTTGATACCTGTGATCATGCTTTGAGTGTTGTAAGGTTTTTTTTTTTTATATTTTGAAAGGGGTCACATGGGATGGAAGAGATTACTAAAGACAATAAAAAAGGTTATTTACGTGTTTATCTAAGTACAACAATAATATTCTGACTTGCACTCAAAAGCCCAAAAAGAGAAGTCTACAGCCATGCTTATGCAACTATGTTTGCATCATGCATAACATCATTCGAGCAATCTCACAATAACAGTGCTAATATGCTTGTTCACCATGGTCACTATAATAGCTTAGCATGTTAGCGTATAACTTTTTCCAGCAGAAAACAAAAAGTATAGCTGAGGCGGACAGTATTTGGCCATAGGTTTGGACAAATTTAACTTTTTTATTCTGATGATAACACGAGAGTGAAGGTTAAGGGGTCACCAAAGTTATCACAATTCAGCCTGGGAGGGACATGGATGTCTGAATCAAATTTCATGTTGGTCCAGCCAATAATTCATCTATAATTCAGCACTCCAAAAATGTGAACCTACTGATAGAGCTAGAGATACTGGCATCTGCAGAAATAATTGTGATGGCATAGCACAATAAACATCCATGTTTATACCTAAAAGCAGGGTTTACAATGTCCTGTGAGAAAGGCATTCAGACAAATCTACTAATGACAGGCTCAAAAAATTGATGGAATTTATAAGACTGAAGGGCTCTTATTTTCAAGGTTTTCACCCTGAGGAAAAGAAACATGATGAGTAAATATTTCACTTTTGCCTATAAAACTGTTCCCTATTTTAAATGACAGAATTGCTGTACTGGCATTCAGAATGATTCATACTTCCCCTCACAATCATGGGCTTTTGTACAGTAATAATCTGAGCAGACACTGGATAAATTGTTAAAACCTCTGCACACCCATAGTCCACCCACACAGGTGTTTTCACTTGCCTGATTATACCTCTCTGTCAGTGTGGGAGGGGTTAGACTTTGATTGACAGCTTTTTAACTTCTTGTAGTTGTGGTACCGTCACCCATCATAGCTTTATCAGCCATAGTGATTGAAAACACCCGTGTGGGTGTACAGGGTTTTAAAGCCTTACCGTACAAGTTCGCAGCCTTTAAGGTCCATCAATTGATGTTTTGGCCACTTGGGGGCAGAATACCTCAAACAACCAGACACCCAGACTATTATCCACTGAGTAAGATGTAATGGCTAATATGTTAGCAAGCAACTGCTTAATTGCACATCCGGCAGACACACAGTAACATAGGACTAATATGGAGTTGCATATCTGGCCAACTGATACATGCAAGTCCGATAGTTAAAGGAGCTATTTGTGAGTGCTATTGCTACTAGCTAACTTTAGCATTAACATCTATTCACTTACCAGTCTAGAAGAAACGTTGAGTTCAGCTTCAAACTTCATTCCTTTACTCACCAAGAGCGGTCTCCAGAGTAGGAAACAACACCGATGTTAACTCTTGTCTCTATCACCTCTTCTACTGAAGTTAGCATGCTAAGCAGCTAGTCTAGCTGGTCTCGTCATTTTCCGATAGCGACTCACTGTAGCCTCCAATCTTTCCTGAAGACATAACGCAGCTGAGAGGGCGTATTATAACCTCTTGTATTATAAGGACAACAATGGCTGAAGCTCTTGTCAAGTGACAATCACCTGGTCCTGGCAAGACACCACGTTCTGCGGCACAGCAAAGTTACAAATAACCCATTTAGTTTCCTTTTTACGTCTATTTTGGTCTCCTCCAGCTGTTCTGTAGCTACCTTTGTATTTAGGTGCTAAATACAACATTCACATCATTGATTTTAACTCCCGTTTCAAAGAAACTCTCAAGTTCTCTCTCAGAGTTTCAGTGTTTAGCTCAGTTAGCTAGTTGCACCTGCAGCTAGTAGGAACTAGGCTGTCACTTTTTATTTTCAAACTAATATCAAATATGGGAAGAATTTAATATCCATTCTGTTATAATCTGTTTAAATTCAAAATTGATGGGCATGACCACAAAATACTATGGAGGTAAGGGGGCATTCGTGAAATGAGTAAATTAGGCTAATGTTGTCCTACTTGCTAATGTAAAATGAGGAAAGCTAACAACCCGTGCTGAACCGATAATCATGATGCCAGATTGTCTCAGAAATGATATTATGAAGCATTTTGGATTCAACACCATAGACAGAAATGTAGTAGATAAAGGCAGTTTGCTGACTGCAAAATGAAGCTGCCTTACATGAATGAAGCATCAATTTTACAACAGTTTAGGATTAGACTGTGGG